TGCGCGCGAAAATCTGTAGTTCATGCCCGGCATGTGGAAAGTGTTAGTTCATGCCCTGCGCGCGAAAAGGTCGTTAGTTCATGCCCGGCATGTCCAAAACACACATATACACATTGGGACCATACGCAAATAGAGAAATGTGATATGCGTGATATGCGAAAAAGATGACAAAAAAATGAAGTGAAGTCAAATATTTTTATTCAAGCCCATTGCCAAAGTTGATAATGACAGAAATTGTATATTTGCCATCTGCGTCTTTTCTCTGAGGAAATTTTCAACAGTGGATCATGCAATTTTGCACTAATACCTTGAAAGCTATCGATTGATATCCAAAAGTATAAACTATTTGTGGCGTAGTTTGCTAGTGGTACATGTAGGGTTGCATAAGCGTTTGTTCTTACTCAAGAGACATAGAACTAAATTCATGTTCAAAAAAGTAGGCAATATTTTGTTGAGCAGACATAGAATGCTGTGAAACTCCAACACAACGTGTTCTACATATCTGTCACAGTTCACCTGCAGAAAGGAAAGAAAAAAAAAACAATTGAAATAATAATGAATGTCTTTTAGCTTACTGATTATTTAACGTACATGAGCAATGATATACATTGATTGAATAAACGATATAACATGAAATAACCCGCCAAGTGAGACAAAAATTGAGACAAAATATGAGACAAAATTGGCATCAACTGTTTGTTTCACAATCGCTGTAACATATAGTTTGTCATCTTGCATCAATGGATGTTCCAATACATGTAGCCTGATGAATATGTCAGTAAGGAGTGCTATAGAATATTAATGATCAAAGTGTACTTGTAAATTATATGCATACATATTTTATCACATGTAAAATGTAAGGATCAAAACTCATGTATTTTCTTGTCATTATGTACATACTTCTTAGAACTTTCTTTACTTTTTCCATTTCTTGGCCGGATAAAGTATAATGTGGTGGCACCACTGCAGGTACAACATGAGGCTTTTCCTGCCAAATGAAACATAAGGAAAGATATTGGGGTTATACACCTTTACCATAATGGCCGCCATCTAATCAACATAAATTTTTAAAATTTAGAATTTTAGTCAAAGTAAACTAACAGCTGATAGGAACTTGTGCTAGTAACAACATATAAAAGTTTGAAATGTTAAATTCTGGTGAACTTATAAGAATTTAGGATTTAAATTATATCATAACATCAGAACAAAGCTATAAAGGCCTTGGTTGAAAATTACATACATTTCTTTGTATTTTCATTTGGCCATAAATTTGTTCACATTTTATCCAGGGCTGTAAAACTTTCTAAAAATGTTTATCTCTGGTAGCATGACAGCGACAAAGTTTTCACATATTTCATCAGTATTCAGAAACAAACA